ATAGGTTTTTGTCTTTAAGGCTCCATGGCTATGTTCAGACCAAGATGTAGGTTATTATCACTTGTCATGGTAGACGAATGGTTCTGTGAAAGATTTGGGTGTGAGTGAGTTGGGTTTAACGCCGCTTTTAACGGTATTCCAGTTATATCACGGCGTGTCAGCTTAATGTGGGAGGAAAGCCCTAAGTGATGCAGGTCTCTGATGTTTACCACTTCGGTGAAACCCACGAGCAAGGGTATGGTGCTGACAAACCTAGAAACATAATCGTGGTGAACTGGGATTCGAACCCACAATCATAGGTTTCTGGCTTGCCCAAGGGACGCAACTCTGCACAGCGAATTGCGGCGCCTTAGACGACTGGGCCACCCGTGCCCCCCTGAAAGATTTGGGTGTATTTAGAGATTTGGGGTTGCATGCGAGGAAAGATTTAGGGCATATATTCAAGTAAAACTAGGGTTTCAGAAAAGGGATTTTGATGTCCTTACAGAAATATTAGGGTTTTCGGAGAAAGATTTGCAGTATCAGAATAAAGTTTTAGTGTTATTCAGAAGTTAACATGAAGTTTTGCCTAGGTGTTTAGTACAAAATAATTTTAAAATATATTCATTCCACTGTCATTGCACAGGACTAGCAACCTGATCCCAATGCAAGATTCAAAACCATAACACGGAAAATAAAACAAACTTGCTGCTTCAGCTGTGATAATATCTGCAGCAATTTGACATGTTAGAACTGATTGTCACTATGCCTCACAGAGTTACCTCCCCTGTCCCTTAATTCACAAGCTGGTTGTGAAGCTACCATCTTGTTTTTCTCGTCATGGTATAATGTAATAAGTTTAGTGTAGGCATGAACACGGTACAGCGCAACTCAATACAACTGCAGGTGATGTTTTAATTGACAAAAAACATACTGAAACAAGGTAATATTGAGAACACCCCTGTGAAATAGACTTCGCTCCCAAACCACTTTGGTTTCCAAATTTCAATTTTCAAAAACAGGTGCATGGCATCAGACTGAGAAATAATGACATCGGAGCCCTAAGGGTTGCCCGAGATATTGTGACTGATGCTGCGTCTGTGTTCATGGCTTATCTCCTCATTCGAGTCCCAGGTGAACCATTCTCTTGTGGAGATAACCGTAGAATTGGGTCTTCATTGCAGACAACGTGCAAACCGACACCACGACTTGATCAAGTTGGGTATTTTTAGCGGTGACTTTCTACTGGGACTGTTTTAGCTGGAAGATGATCAGGTTTAACTTGACTGTAAATCTTGGACAGAAGCATGGCCTTTGTGAGTTGGGCTGCATGCTGCTTTTAGACATGCTGCAGTGAAAGTCTGACTCGGAACATCAAGACGGCATTCTACATTGGAACCATATTGGGACGAACTTAGCTTCGCAGTGAATGAATGTATTCTCTGCATTTAAACTTGCTTCAAGGTGTTTGTTCTTAAAACAATTTGAATCATTTGGAACGACCAGTTACTTCATTGTTTTTCTCATTTTCTTGGTGAAGATGGAATTTAGAAATATTGTTTGGAATTAATAAGTGTTTTCATGAATAATAATTAATTAATAATTAATAATAATTTTCATGAATTAATTTAAATTAAACCACAATAAAACAAAAATCGAAATAAGCACATTTTCCAAAAATTATTTTCTTGTTTTTCTTTTGTATATGTTTACGACAGGACAAATTGTTGTGGTTTTATAATAAGAAAATTAGTGATCAAATGTAAAGGCATTTTAAATGACATGGATGAGACTATTTAACATGATAGATATTTTCAATTCTATCAGTTTCCTAACGACCGCATCGTGTCTAAATTCTCAACGACTCCTTCTACGTCTAGATTCAGGCATTTATTCATATTTAGCTTTCATTGGAGAAATTTAGCCTGAATCATAGTTAGCCTCTTGTCACTGTTGTTGTCACACCCAGGGTTGACTGTAAAAAAATAATTTTTTACCTATGGGATCATCCAGGGTTTGTCCCGTTTTGTTCAAACAATTGAGAAACTATAAATAAATGTAATTGTATAATTTAGGGGTTGAAATTTTTTAAAATGAATTCTAAAATGTATGGTTAAATTAAAAAATCAAATGAAAGAGTTACTTCCCTTTGACTCTAAATTTGCTGTGGATGGATTGTTCATGACCTAGCTGACCATTTTTACATTTAAATGGTTAAATTGTCTTAATATATACTAGAAAGGAACACAGAGAATCTCTTTACTGTCACTGAAGAAGCCTATACTTGCAAACGCATTATAGATTTGGGAGTTGGGGATGTTTTCGTTTCAGTCTGTTTAGAAGACTTTTCATGACCCAGTCTTCTTGCATTTTGATTTATTCCACATTTGCGAAATTTAGGTCGGCAGAACCATAAACCATAAACGATATGAGAAACCTACGTTATCTAGGAACCCATCTGAGATACAGCATGGTAGGTTTAGCATGCTTTACAGAGCTCATCCTGCCACAGCCTGTCTAGGACAGCAGTAACAACAATAGGCCGCTTACAGGTACGGGGACAGCTTACAGGCTGGGTGATGAATAACGGTTGCTGGGAACCTTGTCAGTTGTAGTAAAACAGGGCTGTTGTAGTAGCTGTTGTAGTAGCCCACAGCAGGCACTGACAGATGCAGGGTTCCATGTGGTTAAAGCTGTTCAGGACGATGGAGTTGGACTCATTCCAGGTACTCTATGTCAGTGGTGGGTGATGGACGTGTTTAACGTAAGGTAATCTCGCTTGCATACTTACGTACAATTTGTTGTATTTTCTGATTGAGAAGAATGTGTCTTACTCTTTGTTTTCGGCTCAGGTGAAATCGGTCGTCTCTCTTCCTCTTGCATTCTTACAATTTGTTGTACTTTCTGAGTGAGACGAATGTGTATTTTACCTTGTTTTGGGTCTGTTAGATGTTCTTTGTGCTTGGAGAACAGTGGCTTTGTTACGGCGGGGCTGTGTTTCTTGTCCCACTGTGATTTGTAGTAGGTGTTGTAGAGCTGAATGGGTATGTAAAACACAAGCTGTTTTGGTTGGACATCTTCCTGTAACGTCCCTGGGTGCCGTTGTACAAGACAATCATAGCGCTACCTACTGTCCTGACCCGTGAAGATCCGGGGTAGAATAGATCTTCACCAACCCATGCTTGCTGTAAAAAGCGACTATGCTTGTCGTAAGAGGCGACTAACGGGATCGGGTGGTCAGGCTCGCTAACTTGGTTGATGCATGTCATTGTATCCCAAATGGATCAATGCTCATGATGTCAATCACTGGATTGTCTGGTCCTGACTCGATTATTTACAGATCGCCGTCATATAGCTGTAATATTGGTGAGTGCGGCATTAAACAACAAAAAAACAACAACAAAAAACGACTGTCGTAAGTCTCTGTTAACGTATGGGTGTTACGGTCACCTTGGCAATCAGGGCATCTCTCTCTGTGTATTGCAGAGTTGGGGGACATTGTTGTCTTCTTCATAGTTCCACACAGAAATGGATGGCCCAGTTGTGTAAGGTGCTGCAATTTTCTGTGCAGAGTTGCATCCCTTGGGCTCGCCAGACACCTATGATTTTGGGTTTGAGTCCCTGTTTGCCCCAATTATGTGTCTAGGTTTGTCAGCACCAACCCGAGGACATGAAATTTATGGAACCCAGTGAGCAGGGAAAAATACCCCGGCGAGCGAGCCTGCATGTTTTTTGTTTCATTCCTTCTCGAAGATATGTTTGGACGATTAATTGCATGATTGTCGCTGAAATGTACTGTGCCTAATAATACAGGGGAGCAAAAAGGGAATTCCCTCGACTTTAATATGGGATTCCCTGACATTCCGTAGTGATGAAAGTAGTCCGCTTAGTTGGGCGTTGCTTAATTCTTTTTCATTCATTGGGAAATGATTACATGTGACCAATTCAGTTGATCAGAATGCAGGGATTACAATGAACACAACAAAAATTTAATTATGTTATCATGTTCTTATGATTGAGTATTGACTATTGTGTGTCAACTTCATTTTGTAAGTCATAGACGTGATGATGGTATGATGATGAGGGTTAATGTTGGGGATTATTATATTTTGATTTTATCTTATGATGATGATGATGATGAGGGTTAATGTTGGGGATTATTATATTTTGTTTTTATCTTATGATGATGATGATGATGAGGGTTAATGTTGGGGATTATTATATTTTGATTTTATCTTATGATGATGATGATGATGAGGGTTAATGTTGGGGATTATTATATTTTGATTTTATCTTATGATGATGATGATGATGAGGGTTAATGTTGGGGATTATTATATTTTGATTTTATCTTATGATGATGATGATGATGAGGGTTAATGTTGGGGATTATTATGTTTTGATTTTATCTTATGATGATGATGATGATGAGGGTTAATGTTGGGGATTATTATATTTTGATTTTATCTTATGATGATGATGATGATGAGGGTTAATGTTGGGGATTATTATATTTTGATTTTATCTTATGATGATGATGATGATGAGGGTTAATGTTGGGGATTATTATGTTTTGATTTTATCTTATGATGATGATGATGATGAGGGTTAATGTTGGGGATTATTATATTTTGTTTTTATCTTATGATGATGATGATGATGAGGGTTAATGTTGGGGATTATTATGTTTTGATTTTATCTAATGATGACGACGATGATGATGATGATGATGATGATTATGATGTGTCTATGATGATGATGATGATGATGAAAATGGTGATGGTTTGAATTTCTGATCATTTTGATGATGTTTGGTATCACTGTTGATGGTAATATTGATGTCAAAGATCATAGCAGTGATATCATTTGCTGTTGATTATGATTATGCTGACGTGATGGTATCACTGATGATGATGATTGTCGGATGTATATATATATATATATATATATGATGTGGTGGTGGTGATGATGATGATGATGATGATGATGTCATATTAACTATTTCTTTGCTTGTGTTGTAGGATGGATGACGACGACTACAAGACGGAGAGTGAGGTGGAGGCGGACAGCGACCATGACGACGGAGAAGGCGACACGGACCACGAGTACGGTGGATGGATGACACACGTGAGTACATTCTTGTCCTTTTTTTCACACACCATGCAAGACACCACACATGTTACCCTACTGTGGAATACATGATTTACCGATGGACCGCAAGTGTACACCTGACGATACATCCCACAGTACGGCTCTTGTATCATGTCCATGTTTTGAGACTGTATTGATTTTCACACCCATGTGCCCTGCATTGCTCATAAGACAAAGTATGCAGGATTTGAAGTTAAGAATGTGCAAGATCTTTGTCATAACCCAAATATTATCTGTGACATTATGGGGCCTTCAGATTTAAACGCTGTAGCAGAAAACCTTAAAATAACCCCCCTTAATATCTCACGCTGTGTATTCAGTTTTTCACAATCTTTTTCAGTTTTGATATTGCCTAAAAAAACAAGAGTGTACACATGTTTTGCACGATTGCTTTTTGTTGTCAATGTTCGAGTTGGTTCATGAAAGCACCACACAGTTGTCCATTGGCTTGCCACTGTGATCAGATCTGCCTGAAGCACTTGTAAAATCACCAGACTAAGCCAGAGATCAGTGGCAAATCAGACAGATTGATGACTGGATGACTTCATATACTGAGCCACTTGGCTTAGTATCAGGGTGTATGTAGACTATTTGATCTAGGACTTTAACCATTCATTGAACTACCAATGCATTGCAATCGGGCTTGGGAGAAAATGTGAACACTTTAAATATGAATAATCCACATCTCACATGGTATACCGACTATGGGATCATAAGATATGATAAAGTGAAAAAAATGTGTTGAGCATTACCTTGTCTTGTTCGAAGGCCATCATAGATATGTATATTGATCAGGATTTAGAGACTCATGGCTTTGTCATCTCGTCCATTAGTGAAAGGAAATGTAGTAATCATACAGCGCTCGCTCACTCACTCACTCTCTCACTGACTCAGTTATTCATTCATTCAGTTATTCGTTCACTCACTCACTCACTCACTCACTCATTCATTCATTTACTCGCTCATTCGCTCATTCATTTACTAACTCATTCACTCAATTACTCACTCATTCACTCATTTATTTACTGACACACTCACTCATTCACTCAATTACTCACTACATTCATTCATTCATTCATTCATTCACTGAGCCATCCACTCAATCATCCACACAATCAGTCAATCATTCACTCATTCACTCACAAGTATACTGACTCAATTTGGACAACAAAAGTCCAAAATGTTTAATCATTGAATGCATTCCTGTCGGTTTAAACAATTTGCATGGATCTATTGTTATGGCTACGGCAGAGTGGCTACAGTAAGACGGCCTCTGCGGTCTAGTGGGTAGACTGTTTGCCTGGAGAGCAGAAGGTTAGTAATTCGATCACCAGTTGTGTCATACCAAAAGATGTGAAATGGTGGTATTTGTTGTTACCCTGCCTGGCACTCAGCATTAAGGGGCTAAAACAAGGACTGGTTGGCTTAGAGTCAGTATACTGTGTCTGAGTAGGGTATACATGTTAAAAATGTGGCATGATATCTCAATGGGCTAGCATACACACAAACTGACGTACACCAACATCCACACACCGACACCCCCACTGACACCCACACACACACAGACACACACAGACACACACACACACACACACACACACACACACACACACACACACACACACACACACACACACACACACACAGAGGCATGCACATTGTATATATGTGCAATTATCTTGAACTGACGTTAGACCCTTCCCCTCACCTTCAGAAGCGTAACAAGTTGAGATGCTTCTTTAGCCCACACAATGCCAGCATGTTGTTCGAAGTTTCATAAAATCTCCGTTTTGTTACATTGAAGGTGCTTGATCAGTTTAACACAGCTCAGTGTATTCCAGCTGTATTATCAACCTGTAACAGTCTAGTCGGGACCAGATGATACAGTGATTGGTATAATGAGCAAGGTCCTTGCATTTGGAGTACGATGACACTCAATCTCCGAGTCTGTCTACCTCATCCATGACGTCGCCTCTTTCAACAAATCGTCACGCCGAAGACCCGGGTTCGATTCCCGACATGGGTACAATGTGTGAAGCCCATTTCTGGTGTCCCCCGCCGTGATATTGCTGGAATATTGCTAAAAGCGGCGTAAAACCATACTCACTCACTCACTCACTCTTTCAACAAATGCTGGTTGCTGGGGACATTCTCTAGCCCGGAATCCCCTGAGTCAAGGCAGGTGCTTGAAGCTGATACACATACACCAAATTCTTCATATTGGTTCAGCTCATTTTCTCCAGTTTGTTATTTTCAATGTAAACCTTTCTCTTCAAGAGCTAGGATAATGAGAAGTAACAATGGCGTAACCAGACACCATTTCCATAGAAAACCTACATTTGGCACTGACTACAATGTTGGTTGGAACTGTAACGAGGGGTATCTTAGAAATGTCTGCATATAATCAGCATACGTGATTAAAAATATGTGATGTTTAGCATGAAAACAAGTGTATACTTTAAAGGAATACTGTATTCCCATGGGCAGATTTCCAGGGAAGAAAATAGATGAAATGTTTGAGGGTATGGAGGAAGGGTTACAGCTTCTTTATGAGAAATATATAACTTGGAACAGACGTCACAGTCGACTGAGGCACCAAAATTTGTTGTGCAGAGCTCCGTCCCTTGGGGGCGCCAGAAACCTTTTATTGTGGGTTCGAACCCCGGTTCGCCCTGATTATGTTTCTAGGTTTGTCAGCAACATACCCGTGCTCGTGGATTTCACCAAAGTGTTAAATGTCTTAGACCTGCATCACTTTGGGCTTCCCTCCCACCTAAAGCTGACGTACAATGCTATAACTGAAATACTGTTCAAAGTGGTGTTAAACTCAACTCACTCACTCACTCAAGGAATGATGAATCTCAATGTCGTTTTTGGCTTCATTCAGATTCATGTTTATAAATTTTAAATTACATTGTACAAAAATGACCAAACTTTTGAAATCATTTATGTCGCTATTCAGCACCACCCCTTGTGAGCCTCATGGTTGTATGTAGACATACCTACCTCTGATTCTAGTGGATACCTTGATTAAACATCTGAGACTGAAGTGTAAATACCTGGAGAAAGTAATGTTTTACTGATTACAGCGGGCAAAAACAGGGGATTCACATGGATCAGCAGCGTACAAAACTTGTGCTAGCCTGAGATTGCTAAACTGTGCTGAGGACGAGTAACAATCCAGTGATGGTCGTCCTCATTGACAGTTGAGGGTTGTAATTCTAAATCATTTCGCAGGGCTTCAACTTTGCTTCAAATTGGAGCTGAGGAAAACTGACAGATAATGGAAACTTGTAAACATTTTTGTCTCGTTCAAACAGGACTAGCTACAAACAAGGTTTTAGAATAAGGTTTCCTGTAGTCCTATGGACTAGTCTTAAAAAAGTTAATAATTCTTGAGGCTTGATGGGATGGTCTGACGGCATATGTCATCATGCCAAGATGGCATGGATCGTTGTTCATGCTTTCAGGGGGCACTGGTGGCCCAGTCGTCTAAGGCTCCGCGATTCGTTGGGCACACCAGAAACTTATGATTGTGGGTTCGAATCCCGGTTCGCCCCGATTATGTTTCCAGGTTTGTCAGCACCATACCCATGCTCGTGGGTTTCACCGAAGTGGTAAATGTCTGAGACCTGCATCACTTTGGGCTTTCCTCCCACATTAAGCTGACACGCCGTGATATAACTGTAATACTGTTAAAAGCGGCGTTAAACCCAACTCACTCACTCACTCATGCTTTCAGTCCGCCATGATGCAGCTGTAATATTGATGATTGCTGACTTTAACAATATTAACTCACTTGCACACTCCTGAATAGGAGCAGTGGGGTAGCCTAGTGGTTGAGCTTTTGCTCGTCACACCAAAGACCTTGGTTTGAATCCCCACCTGGGTGCAATGTATGAAGCCCATTTCTGGTGTCCCTGTGATATTGCTTGATTGTTGCTAAATGCAGCATAGAACAATACTCACTCACTCACTCACTCCTGAATAGGGGTGGTGGGGTAGCCAAGCCTAGGTCACACTGTAGACCTGGGTTTGAATCCCCACCTGGGTGCAATGTATGAAGCCCATTTCTGGTGTCCCTGTGATATTGCTTGATTGTTGCTAAATGCAGCATAGAACAATACTCACTCACTCACTCACTCCTGAATAGGGGTGGTGGGGTAGCCAAGCCTAGGTCACACTGTAGACCTGGGTTTGAATCCCCACCTGGGTGCAATGTATGAAGCCCATTTCTGGTGTCCCTGTGATATTGCTTGATTGTTGCTAAATGCAGCATAGAACAATACTCACTCACTCACTCACTCCTGAATAGGGGTGGTGGGGTAGCCAAGCCTAGGTCACACTGTAGACCTGGGTTTGAATCCCCACCTGGGTGCAATGTATGAAGCCCATTTCTGGTGTCCCGGTGATATTGCTTGAATGTTGCTAAATGCGGCATAGAACAATACTCACTCACTCAATCCTGAATAGGGGCAGTGGTAGCCTAGCCTAGGTCACACCGTAGACCTGAGTTTGAGTCCCCACCTGGGTGCAATGTATGGAGCCCATTTGTGGTGATATTGCTGGAATATTGCTAAATGCGGCATAGAACAATACTCACTCACTCAATCCTGAATAGGGGCAGTGGTAGCCTAGCCTAGGTCACACCGTAGACCTGAGTTTGAGTCCCCACCTGGGTGCAATGTATGAAGCCCATTTGTGGTGATATTGCTGGAATATTGCTAAATGCGGAGTAGAACCATACTTGCTCACTCACTCACTCACGAACGAACGAACGACTAGCCTGTCCTTCATCCTCTGTGGGTAAGGAGCCTAATGGGAAGGCCATTTGACATTACAATCAAAACCCAGTCAGCAATCAGCAGATGCGGCCAGTGACTGTGGCGTTTTCATGGTGTTCTTGCTGTGTTGATGATGATGAGTTCCAGGGCAGTGATGAAAGTGAGCAGCTGGAAACATGCTTGGTATTCTCC